CAATGCGCGACAGGTCGAGCACACCCTGAGGATTCTGGCCCAGTCTGTGTAGATTCGAGCCAATCGAGCTGGCAACCGATTCGGATAGACGCAGTTTTTTGCCACCACCACCGCCAGCACCAGCGCGTTGTGCACTGTGTGGGGCACGCAGTTTCTCCTGGCTGGACATAATCTCCGAGGCATTGGACAGTCGGCGCGCTGAGACCGAATGGCCCAGCGTGGGTCCATCGTCGATCTGATAGTCTGTGCCGCTGCGCTTGAACAGCAGCGCCGTCATTTGGGCACGCTGCACCTTGCGTAGTCCGGAGTTTTGCAAATAAACCGGCAGGTGCACCAAGTTGCGCAGAAAGTCGTGACCACCAATGCCGCCCTCGGTGAACAGCCGCCGACTGTTGGCCTCGGCGGCCTTGGCAATTACATGCGGATCCACCGAAATGAGCAGCACAAAGGGTCGATTGGGCGCAGAGAGCAGCGTCTGGACGGCATTCAAGAGCGTCAGTATGCGTTCCGTATCACAGGAGTCCAGGGCATCGATGACGCCCACCAGACGGCTTTGCTGATTGGTGAATGCGTCCAGGCACTTGACCATGTCCGTCAACACGGCCACCTCGGCACCGAGCATAGTCAGCGGCGCATTCTCATTGGAGCGTACGGCCCGTTTTAGCTGGCGCTTGTGCGAAATGAAGAGCGAGCCGCAGACCTTGGCCAGCACATGGAGATGGGTGCAGATGAGCGTCACCAGCAGCGCAGCTATCACATAGACGGCAACCAGAATCTGTTCTCGCTCTTCGGCATTGGCGTGCGTGAAGTAGGCAACTATCAGCGCAATGCCCGCCACCAGGGTGACCAGGGCGAGCTCAAAGAGCAGCACAATGGGCAAACAGCACATGCGACGCCAGCGCCAGCCCACATCCAGCTTCAGGCACTTGGGACGAAAGGCACGATACAGCCGAGTGGCCAGCCAGCCGTAGTGGGACTCTGAAAAGTATATATGTACAGATTGAGTTGGATCGATTTAGGAGCTATCGCTTACCTATGGCGTCCAGCAGGGCGGCCAGCATGTGTGCGACGGCGCCATCGCCCGTGGGCGAGGCACTGCTTGCCTCCGCAAAGTGAAAGCGCACAGGCTTGGGCTGAGAGTCGGCTTGTGGTCCGGGCGGATGACAGAATGTCACCTGCAGTATAAGACGCAGTCGCGAGATGCGCTTGTCCAGGCCATGCAGCACAGAGTACGCCCAAAACATGTCCATTTGATAGTTGCAGTATTTGGCTGCCGCCAGCAGAATATATGCCAGCACCAAGAAGAGAACGGGCGCCAACACGCCCCACAGCGCTGACCAGGTGCTCAGACCCACAATGGTGCCGATGAGCAGCGATATGTGCAGGCAGACGATGAAGAGCAGGCCGCCGGTCTTGGCCGGCGGTTCGGCCCACTGTTTGGCGAAATTGTTCATTTCCTCGCGCAACTTGTTCAGCAGGAAACTTTTCCCGCTGCCCCACTTGGCGTAGAGACCAACGGTTATGGGCGTGGTCAGAGTCGGCTCGCTGAGCACATCAGCGAGCGCCGAGGAGTACAGCTCATAGCCCAGCATGCCCTCAGAGTCCTCGTTGGTGTTGAGACGCCGTGCGCCAAACACCTGACCCAGTATGGTCTTCTGGTGCAGCGAGTCAATGTTGTAGGGTGTTTCGCCCGCCTTGTTGGCGCGGTACAGCAGCTGGCTGTGCTTCGGATTGCGCAGCAGCGCCTCGACAATTGCCTTGGAACGGGCACGCATCGCTATGTGCAGGCAGGTGTCGCCGCGCTTATCGCTGGCCGTCACCTTGGCCTTGCGGTCGAGCAGCATGTGTACAATCTCCAGATTTCGGTTGCGTACGGCGCGCAGCAGCGGCGTATCGCCATCCTTGGTGGACGATTCCAGATCGGGATTAGTGAACAATAGCAATTTGACGATCTGCGTGTGACCCTTCTCCACCGCTGTATAAATGGCCGTTTTGCGATCCTTGCCCTGTATATCCACGTCGGCGTGTTTCTTGAGCAGAGCTTCGACCACGGTGCGATGTCCACCCTTTATGGCATGGATCAGCGGCGTATCACCGCCGCGATCCTGTATATTGATGTACGCGCCGGCAGCTATAAGTGCGGCGGCAATATCCTGAAAGCCCTCTCGACTGGCTATGCACAGCGCTGTCATGCCGTCCTTGTCCAGAGCATTCACATTTGGCTTCTTCTCCAGTATGGAACTAACGCAATCCGTGTGCCCGCCGGCGGCCGCAACCAGGAGTGGCGTCCATGAGTACATGCCGGCGGTGTCCACATTGGCGCCCGCCTTGAGCAGCGTGTCCACAATCTCAACGTTGCCGCGACGGCAGGCCCAAACCAGCGCCGTGGTGCCGTACTTGTCGCCCACATTAACCTTGGCGCCGCGTTGCACCAGCAGCTCCACAATATCCTTGAAGCCGCGCCCTGCGGCCCAGAGCAGGGCGCCCAAATGGTAATTGCCGTGCGCATTGCCATCCGCTCCCTTGTCCAACAGCAAGCGCACCAGTTCCGTGTGTCCCCGATACGAGGCCCACATCAGAGAAGTCCAGCCGCCCTGCAAGCCTCACGGATGAGCATCAGAGAATCTATAAAGCACTGCATTCGCTTACCATATCCCGATGCTCTATTTCAGCGCCATGATCCAGCAACAGCTGCACCACATCCAAGTGACCGTTGCGCGCGGCACACAGCAAAGCCGTCCAGTTGTCCAGATCCTCCGCATGGACATCAGCGCCACGGGCCAAAAACTCACGCACAAATGGAGTCAGGCCGCGTCCAGCCACAACCATAAGCACCGTGGTAGCATTCTTTAAAGGAATACGGATTCATTAGAGGTATGTAGAGTATGGTTTAGGTAAGTCCACATACCTCATCACGATCATCGATGGCTAGATGACGGCTATCGAGTATTGCGCGAAGTCCGGATATGTCATTATTATCGATGTACTGCAGCAATGCGCGGTGTCCCAGTGAACCCATGGAATCTCCGTATCGATTTATATTCTAAATTGGGACAGATTGGATAAAAGAATTGAGCTAATAACAATTTTTGAATGTTTGCTATAATTAATAAACATCATGCAGTTTTCTCATAGATATTAGTTTTGTTCGACTTAATTGGACTGAAGGAGACGTTTAATTGGGTAAACATATTTTAATTAAATATAAATCAGCATACAATATGTGTGTACACAAGTCACATGCTAACAACTTTCTTGTTTGATAAACAGAACACGAATCAAATGCACTACACTCAAAGAAATAGGCATATTATAGCTCCAAATGAAGTCAAATCATATTGCAAAGTTAACCAACACTGCATGTTATTGGAATATAAAAAATATATCTAATGTTAAATAACTGTTAGTTAAGAGAAAATTTCATTTCATGTAAAATTCACGTTAACATTATGTTAAGTAGCTGTTAGTTGACAGAAAACTCCTTTTATGTGAAATTCACGTAAACAAATATGATTTAATAATCGAATCTATGAATTATTATTTTATATGTATATAAATATTTTTATAATAATACAGATGTTCCCGCATAAAGTTAATTAGGTCTGGAAATGCTGCGATCATACAACGCCAAGATTAAAAAAATCAATCGTATTGACATTGCCAGAGAAATAATGTCATATTGATAAGAAGTAAGCGACTCGTGTTTAAGATCAGCAAATCGAATTGATAAAGTTGGGATAACTTGGCCTGTCAACTGAACGTCATGTCTTTATGTCTCGCTGAGACAGCGAGCTGTCAACAATTTAATGCCCGTTTAAGAAAAAATAAAAAACCATTGATAGTGGCGCCCTAATAAATCGTGAAACAGATCCTCAGAGAGCGCTCTTTGTATATTTTTTGTCTTTCGTATGGCAAAGCCACATACTACGTAGGTATATGTCTCCGTGTGTATATGCATATTTTATGATAACGCCAAGAAAATAGATAACGAGCATTTGTCATGCCAAAAGAAGCATCCACTCACGTTTTGCAGTAGCTTTGGTGCCACATACCTATCTAAATATTGTCTAAATCAAGCATATTAAGCTGTCAGCTGTGACAGTTCTCAAGAAACTGGAGAACCAACAGGAAGAAGAACTCTAGAGTTCAAGACCAAGTTATGGGAAGTGCCCGAGACGAATCTTAAATGGATCAAACTGATATTTTTTACACTTTTTTTCTGAGGCGTGAAAATTAGTTATAAATAAATGTTTGTAAACACAGTCTAGCGTTAAGGTTTTATCTAAGCACAGGTGCGAGTGTAAGGTTGTTTAATACGTAAAGGTGTAAGTACTTCTGTATTTATGCATATAGACTAGAGTTAAGTGCTAATACGCACTTAAGCGTGGCAGGCGAGCAACATTGAACACTTTTTTACCGAGTGGAAAATTAGTTATATATCAAAAAGCTGATATATAGAGAAAACAGTTTCAGTTAATTTGAATTTTGAAAAATTTTTACTATTAAAAATCTTGGTCCCGGGCCTTGAATCTAGAGCACATTTTTTAAATTTCTTTCTGTTTTAAGACTTTTTGTTTTCTCAGGGAATCGATCCCCACATCCACAACCGTTTGAATTTTAATAGAAAGAAGTAAATGAATTATTCAAAATCTTTTAATTTTTGTTCAATAAATAGCTGTTTTTTATTTTGAGAATATTTTGCTTTCTTCTCAAACGTTTCAATTTTAATAATTTATTTTTTAGTCAATTTAACAGTATTTTTGTCTTGAGGAATTTTGTTTTCTTGAGCTTGAACTTAAGAGTTTAATTAAACATTTGTTCAGTTTCCAACAACCACAAAAAAGATAAAAATTTATGAACAGTTGAATATGCCATATAAAAGTCCAGACTCGTAAAACATGTAGAAATCACTTGAATATTGCACACTTAAATATTTGTATTCATTTTTAATTATTATTATTATTATTTTTACTAACATTTTTGGTTTTTTTCTTTGACGGGGAACGCAGATTATTTAAGCTCAAACGCGATGCGCTTAGAATTAACTCGTCGAAACTTTTGGATAATTTCATTTTGTCAGCGCGTTTTTTTTTTAGTTGCACTGCAACAGCTGAGTTGGTAAATATTTGTAAATTTAATGTTTTATTTATTTAAGACAAGCCGCAGTGTTCGTTTTTTTTTTTATCAGCTCATGATTTACAATGGAATGGAGCACAATAAAGACTAGATACACGTAATTAAAGAGAGCAACAACAAAAAAAAAACTGTCGCAGTGCGCGTGCCTTTTAATTAGCATTAATAAATTGCATTTTATGCGCTTGATTGTTATGTTATTGTTTAATATTTATTCCTCTGTGTTTTTTTTTAATTTGTATCTCAAAGAATGCTGCTGCGCGCCTCGACGAATTGCCTTTGAATGCGCGCCGCGAACGGAGCTCAGCAGCCCATGTGCAAGCTATTGGATGTGCCGCTCGGACGGTTGTGGATGGTCGGATGGTCGGATGGTCGAATGGTTCGTTAGTCGGACTGCTGGGTTAGACTCGGCTGGTATCGGGTATCGCATGACGCGTTTTCTTGCTTATCAACGAGCCCAGCACCAAAGCAACCCCCCCTCCGTCACAGCGTTGCGAATTTAAGCGGGCACGCAAAAACTTAAAACTTGAAATGATTACAAGCCGCGGACTGAGGCACGCGGCAAATAGCTACACATGTAAGTAGAGATACTTGGGGATACTTTGGAATACGTAAATAAATACGCAGATCTGTGGCTGTGCACTTGGAAAAAAACAAATACAGCACGATATTGACCTGAAATTAGGAGATTTTACTCTTTAAAGGCAGCTAAAGCAATTTGCCTAATTTTGAGAAAACATTTTTAAAAAAAATTCGTAACTTTTTTAAATAAAAAAAAGTGTTGTAAAGTGAAAAAGAACAATTTGAAAAAGTCACTTTAAATAAAAAAAAAATGATTTTAATTTAAAATAACTTTCTAAAATGTAGAACAATTCTTAAAGCTCACAATTCTTCTTTCTAAAAACAGATAAATATCAAAACTTTTTTCTAAAAATATTGATACTATTTTCTAACGAGTAGAAATTGGTCTGAGAAATAGTAACTATTTTCTAAATATTGTGTACTTTAAGATCGTTTTTTCTAAGTGTGAACAACTACGGCAATTGCCTTAAATTAAGGGAATTTTTTTTGTTATATTTTTGGTTTTTTTTTTTTGCGTGTACTAGATGCGCGCACTTTGTGAAATGCTGTAATTTTGTTAACAGCAGGCACTCAAACGTGTTTGCCAATTTGGCTATATTTAGAGGCCGCAAAGCTTGCCCCGCTGCAACACGCTCTTGCCACAAACACACGCACCACGCACAACGCGCCGCCACAAACTAACAGACTGACTGTCTGACTGGGCCTGAGACTGAGACTGAGACTGAGACAGAGACTCTGGGCTAAGACTAAGAGGCAAAGTGACCAATGACCAGTGACCAATGACCAATGCTGTTTAGCTGGAATTCTACTCTTAAGCGAAACTGTAGCCTTTATAAATTACACTGTCTGGCTAACGAGAGTTTCTCTTTGGGAAGGCCAGCTGCAGCACTTAAGTTAACCAACCTTAGTTGCATTTGTTAATTGTTAATTGTTAATTGATTTACAATATTTTTTTTCTTCTTCTTTTTGCTTGTGCCTCGTCTGGCGCTGGCGCAGTCCATTTGTTAATTGCTAGAAACGTTTCGAGTTAATTAAATAAACGTAGACAATAAATTTCAACTGAATCGCGCAAATGCCTAACTTTAAGCGTATATACTAAGTATTTATGCCTGGCTGTGTTGTTTAACTTTAGTTCTTCCACAGAAATTGGGAATATTTGAGGTTTGTGGTCAAAAAAAGTCCCTTCAATTTGGGTCAGCTGCACAAAAGCGTCTCTCGATTAATCTTGTAAAAGTGCAAGAGGACAGTTTGCAAATGAGCAAGTCGCATTTAAAATTTAAATTCGATATCAGCTCGATATCGAAGGAACTTGACGATTTAAAGGGAAATAGTATATGTTCAAATTTGTTCTTTTTTGGGGTAATACATTATTCTCCCACAAACGTGTCCAGTGTCCAAAATAGCTCATTGATGGACAGTCGCAGATAGCTTTACGACATTTCATAACCGATTACCAATTAGAAGTTGAATTTGTTGCTTCTCGAGTGGCCATATTATTAACCCCGGAGTGTCAGTTAGTAGCCCTGACTAATGTTTATCTCTCGCATGACGTTTTTAAGTATTTAGTGGCTAGCGGGCTATTTTTAGCAGCACGCACTTAAGACATTACGCGGAATTAATTCCTAAATTAATAGATAAAAAAAATCGAAAGCTAACAAAAATATTGTTAAAAATTATAATATTTTGAATTCATTAATAATGATAATTAACATAATAATATATTGAATTCAATAATATAATAAAAGATAATAATATTCAAAATAATAATATTTTGAATTCATTGATAAAAATAATGAACATAATAATATATTGAATAAAAGATAATAATATTCAAAATAATAATATTTTGGATTCATTGATAATAATAATTAACATAATAATATATTGAATTCAATAATAATAATAAACGATAATAATATTCAAAATAATAATATTTTGGATTCATTGATAATAATAATTAACATAATAATATTTTGAATTCAATAATAATAATAAAAGATTATAATATTAAAAATAATAATATTTTGGATTCATTGATAATAATAATTAACATAATAATATTTTTAATTCAATAATAATAATAATTATATTCAAAATAACAGGAAATATTAATATTAAAAATAATTATAAATATTAATAACAATAATATTAATCAAAATAATACTCTAACTAATATTTATTTTAGCTGTCAAACTTTTTAATTGTGTAAAGTTAAAGCATGTTGCAAATATGTTTAATATTTTCTGAGTTTTTTTTAGCGTAAACGACAAAAGTTGATATTTTAGTGAAACCAAAATTGGCAACAAAATTGACACCAAAGTTAACCATGTTAATTTAAAATGAAAACAACAAAAAGTAGTCGAACGGCAGGCGACAAAAAGGCAGCATTAAACTTGTTGGATCATAGGCAAGACAGCAGCAAGAGGAGGGAGGAGAGCGGGGCAACAAAGAACAATAACAACAACAAGAACAAAAAAAAACAAGTTGCATTGCATGTTTATTTTTAGATAGTACACGCTGTTTATAGAGAGTCCAGGACAGGTTACAGGCTAGGAACTGGGGTTAGAAGCAAACGCAGCCAAACAGAACGCACAAACGCAACGATCGTTAGTTTGAAAGGGTAAAGAGAGGTAAATAGAGGAAGATAGAGAGAGAGAGAGAGAGAGCGTAGTACATGTACGTGGATGTGGGAGAAACGACGTAACGCCAGATTAAAGTGACTGAAGCGCCGCGACGTATACGACGTAATGCTGTTTTCATGCTGCTCGTGATGATCATGATGATCATGATGCCCATGATGATCATGATGTTCACTGCACGCTTCGCCATTTGCCTCCTGGCCATAGCTGTCCGGTGTGAGCGAACGTGTCGGCGTTGGCGAGGGTGAGAGCGCGGAGCGGCTGTCTGTGCCGCAGACACTGATCGCATCCGCTGGCACGGCATCGGAGCCCTCGATGTTGATCACCAGGCGCGGCAGCGAGGCGTGCGGCGCCAGCTCGGCGCCGTTGCGTGTGCTCGGCATGGACCTGGAGTTGGGTAGACGGCGCAGCGAACGGCCGATGCTGAGCGCACGCTCCTCCCACTCCAGCAGCGGTCGATGCAGCGACTGCAGATCATGTGTGCCCGTATCATGTAAGCCACGCACCAAAGCCCCGATCGTACGCTGTTTGCAGGCCTTCGGGTCTGTGGAACTGGTTGCTGCCGCTGCCGCTGCTGCTGCCGCTGCTGTGGATGTTGCTATCGTCGCCGTGGGCGCCTGTGGGTCAGATGCTGACGTTGACGTCTTTGTTGTTGGTTTTGGGTTAAGCTTTGGCGATTTATCATTCGGCTGCATGATTGCTACGCACTTTACGGTTCTTTGTATACGCTTCTGACACTTAACAGTTTATCGCTCGATCGTAAGTTGTGTGTTTATGAGACGGCACAGAAATGAGGTCCTCTTCTGGCTATCGAGAGAGAGAGAGGGGGAGAGAGCTGCAGCTGCCGCTGCCGCCTCTGCCAGCTGATTAGTTATTATCAGTGTCTTTTCATCTGACAATGTTTTATTGTTTTTGATTTTATTCTGCATTTGTAACAGTTTTTTAATTGAACAACAACAACAACAACAATAACAACTTTGCCCTGTCTAATTGAGCATATTGGAACAAACAAATTGTTGATTCAACACAATGTGAAATGACAGTCACAGTAAAATGACAGTAACTGTGGAGATGTTGCATGTATGTAAGTACAGTAGAGAGAGAGAGAGAGAGAGATGAGAGCCCAAATATACTTTTTATATCAGGTTATTAAAGAATATCTACATTAACTATATATCATCAGGGAAGACACCCAAACAGCTTTTTTAGACACTCTCAAGAGTGGCTGCTGCCCAATATTTGTCATAGACTTTAATTTTGGGAGAAGAGGGAACCTACAAAAATCCAAATTTGCATGCCTCTGTTTAAGATATCCCTTCGTATGCCTTAATCTTAAGACTAATCTTTAGTTACTAAAAGGTAAAACCTGTTAGTTATAATTTGAACTCAAATAGCAGCAAGTAGGTTATGCACTCATAATTTTCTTATCATTAGTTTATCTTATATATTATTCATAGATTACGCAAAAATGGGTCTCAACTTTTACCCAATATAAAGTAGAATCTTTGATTTGATCATTTAAGTGAATTAGGCTTTGCTTTGAATATCTCACACACCTCAGATTCGCCCGGATGCGTTTTTAGGCGGGCCTTAAACATTTTGGTTAAACTCTCGCCGCTTAGTTCCGTTTTGAAGGTGTTTTGAATTCAGCTGCAAACACTAAAAAAATAAACTGTGGAAAACTTTTGCTCGACCGCTTGCCATAGGCGTTCCAAGTGAACTGTCTGGCTGAGGCTGCATGCAAGTACCATATATGGATAAAATGCACAAAAGATACGCAGTTTGCTTTTGACTTTTAATTAATAGAACAAACAACTGTTTTTTTTTAACATATGCCGATAAGCGCACAGATAAGCGGATAAACGGATATTAAACGAGGTGTAGGAAAAAAATGTG